GTGCTTGAAACGGCTAAGTAGAGGAAGAGGGGTTCGCCAATGATTGCCTGAGAAAGGAAGGGGGTTGGCCATGCATTGCTTCAATTGCTGAAAGGCCTCTTCGGACTCGGTCGTCCATTCAAAAGTTTGCTGAAGAATTTTGAAGAAGGGGAGGCACTTATCCGTTGCGCGGGAAATGAAGCGGTTAAGGGTGGCAGCTCGGCCAGTGAGTCTTTGAACTTCCTTAACCGTTCTGGGTGACTGCATTTCAATCAAGGCTTTGATCTTTTAAGGGTTAGCTTCAATGCCCCGTTGACTGACCATGAAGCCCAAGAACTTCCCAGATCCTACGCCGAAGGCGCACTTCTTCGGATTGAGCTTCATCTGGTACTTCCGCAGGGTGGCGAAGGTTTCTCGCAAGTCGGTCAGATGGTCAGCAGAGAGTTTGCTCTTCACTATTATGTCATCGACATATACTTCAATGTTCCGACCGATTTGATGATGGAAAACGACGTTGACCAACCGTTGGTAGGTGGTCCTATCATTTTTCTGTCCAAATGGCATCACTTGGTAATGGTAGGTGCCTCGGTCAGTAATGAAGGAGGTGTGTTCCCGATCAGATGGGTGCATCAAAATTTGGTTATACCCAGAGAAGGCATCCATGAAGCTGAGCATTTGGTGACCGGTCGTGGCGTCGACTAGCAGATCTATGCGGGGAATAGGATAACTGTCTTTGGGGCAAGCTCGGTTGAGGTCTGAGTAGTCGACACAAAGTCGCCATTTACCATTGTTCTTGTGAACCGGGACCACGTTTGACAGCCATCTAGGGTAGTCTACGTTCTTGATGAATTGGGCCTCAAGGAGCTTGTCAACCTCTGCGGCAATAAGGGTATTGCGTTCAGGATGAAAGATGCGCTACTTCTGGCGGTAAGGTCGGAAACGGGGTTCAATGCTGAGGCGATGGGTTATGAAGGAGAGGTCAATACCCGGTATGTCTGAATGGGTCCAGGCAAAGACATCATTGTGCTCGGTCAGGAGGGCAGTAAGGTCGGCCTTTGCTTGGGGGGATAGTTGGCTGCTGATTTTGGCAGTTTTCGTTGGGTTGGTGGGGTCGATGGGAACCTCCACGAGCTCCTCCGCAGGTTCTCTTCTGACCAGCTCGTCCTCATCTCGGGCGTCAAGTCCTTCAATGATCATGGTTTCGTTTAGCTTGACTTCTTTTAGTGAGGCAACATAGCATTCCCTAGCCACAATTTGCTCTCCCCTTACAGTCTCGACCCCCAGATCGGTGGGAAACTTAACGGCAAGGTGATAAGTTGATATGATAGCTTGGAAGGCATTTAGGGCAGTGCGGCCAAGGATGATGTTGTAGGCGGATGGGCAGTCGACGACAAGGAAGGTGAGCAACTTTGTAGTCTGCCGTGGGTACTCACCAATTGTGATGGGAAGATCAATGGAGCCGATGGAGGTGACCCGGTCGCTAGTGAAACCGACCAAAGGGGTTTGGAGAGAAGACAAACTTTCCTCCCCAATTTTGAGCTGGCGAAAGCAGTTGAGAAAGATGATGTCTGAAGAACTACTGTTGTCGATGAGAACTCGTCTGACCTTGTAGTTGGAGAGGAGGGCAGAAATGACGAGAGGGTCATCATGAGGGTAGCGAATGCCTGTACAATCGACGTCGGTGAAGGTGATAGGCTCGGTCCACTACTTGGGCTGTTTGGAGGGTCGATCGACCGTGGCAACTACTTTATTTGAGCCTTACCTTATCTTCCTGAGTTCTGCCCTCTGAGCCGAGCGGGATGGTCCCCCGCAAGCAAGGTCGCCTAAAATGACTCTGATCTCTCCAACAGGTAGAGGGGGGTTGCCTGGCGGCCGAGGTTGCTGTGAAGGGCAATCATGGCCTTGGTTAGGTTGGGCTGGCTACTGGGGGATGCGCTGGCGGTTGTTTCTGAGGGGCTCAGTTCTGTCTCTGCTGAGGGCGGGTGTTTGTGAACCAGCTAAGATGCCCCTGGCGTATGAGGGTTTCGACCTGATCTTTGAGGTTGACGCACTCATCGGTGTTATGGCCATGGTCCTGGTGGAAACGGTAATATTTGGATTAGTCTTTCCGATTGGAAGGGGTTCGTGACGGTTGGGGCCATTTAAGGGGGTAGTCCCATTGGATCTGATTTAGGACTTGTTCCATGGGAGAGTTAAGGGATGTATATCGCTCGAACCGACCGGGCGGTATAGTGTGGTGTTTGGCTATTATACTGGGTGTTTCTGGATTCTGAGTCTTTTTTTTTTTCTCTGGGGATCGGGTTTTTGGTCATGGGGTCTTGCCGGGCGGCTAAGGAATCCTCAGCGTTCATGTATTTTTGGGCTTTGGAGAGTAGGGCTGCCATAGAGGTCGAGGGATTTTTAGAGAGGGAGAATAGGAAGTCGGACAACCGCAGACCGGCCATGAAAGTAGTGAGGATGACCTTGTCATCATTTTTCGCAACTTGCAGGGCTTCGGTGTTGAAGCGGGTAACAAAATTGCGTAGCGACTTCCCCTCGGTCTGTCGAATGTTGAGGAGTTGGGTTGTCGGGCGTCGTTGGCGTTGGGCTCCAATAAAATGTCTGAGGAAGGAGTCACTGAGATGCTGGAAAGTGGAGACGGAGTCTGTTGGTAGTTGGCTAAACCACAGCCGAGCTGACTCCTTCAGCGTCACGGGAAAAGCTCGACACATGATCTCGTCAAGGAATGCATGGAGGATCATGAGGGTTCTGTAGGTCTCCAGATGGTCGACTGGGTCCGTCGTACCATCAAAAGAGTCGATGGTGGGCATCTTAAACTTGGGGGTAGAGGTTTGTCGCGGATGGAGGCGGCAAATAGTGAGTTTGCTGTGGTAGAGGGTTTATGCTGGATGTTCTGCATGACTCCCTGGAGGCTCGGAGTTCCACGTCCTAGAGAGGAATGTGATCACCTCCGGAGGGCAACGGGAGCTGGACGCTGCTAGCCTCTCCTTCAAAGATTGGTGGCGGGATCGATGGTTGTGGGCCCCGGGGTGGTAGGTGTATACCTGGGGGAGGGGGTTGCAAGCCTTCTCTGTTGGGCGGATTAGGCTGCGGAATAGTATCGCTCGGGGCTTGTTCGTAGTTGGGAGGAATATCGGGGGGTAGTGGAGGGGGCATGGGAAGGTTTCTTTGGAGTAAGGCATTGATCAGGGCTTGGTTTTGCTCGGCCATGCGGTTAATACTGTTGGTAAGCTTGATGAAATATTGTGGTGGGTCGTTTGGATTGAGGGGGTCGACTTGGTGGTCGGCAGCATTTTGGTGAGAAGCCATGGATCTAGTCGTGACCATACACTTCGATGGTAGCGATAAATGGTTATTAGAATGGGGTCTCCGGCGATAGTGAACACAACTGGCGCGAGAAGCAAAGCCTTCCCACAGATGGCGCCAACTGATGATACAGTTACTACACAACGGGTCCCAGATGGAATGGGTCGGACTAATCCACGCTTCTTCAACCGATAACTGGGTGTTCAAGTCCACCAGAGAACTTGCACACAAGTTCAACAGGGGAACTGGGAGTCCCCCAACGAACCCTCCGACGAGCAAGTTAGAGAGAGAGAAGTGTAATGTAGAGATATGAACTGGAGATAGAAAAACTTAACCTTCTTCTTGTCTTCAACGTTTGCTTATATCCTTTGGTTATCATTTCGCTGTCTTTTCCGACCTGCCATCTTGGCCGAAAATTATGCTGTAGCTTACCTTGTTTAGGGTAAAGGGGTGTTGTTCCGACGGAGAGGCGTTGTCGTAATAAATGCTGTGATGGGCTACATTAATGGTGATGTGCAGTGGCAATAACTTTGTAGATCTTTGTCTACTGATGTGGCTTGTCTTTTACCTGCCGTATGTCTGAATGTCATTGGCTCTTTATGCCACGTTGGATTCCAACTGTTCTGGACTTCACCAGCTGGGTTATGTGTTGGGCTGTAAGTGATGGGCGGGGGCTGGACGCTGCTAGCCTCTCCTTCAAGGATTGGTGGCGGGATCGATGGTTGTGGGCCCCGGGGTGGTAGGTGTATACCTGGGGGAGGGGGTTGCAAGCCTTCTCTGTTGGGCGGATTAGGCTGCGGAATAGTATCGCTCGGGGCTTGTTCATAGTTGGGAGGAATATCGGGGGGTAGTGGAGGGGGCATGGGAAGGTTTCTTTGGAGTAAGGCATTATCAGGGCTTGGTTTTGCTCGGCCATGCGGTTAATACTGTTGGTAAGCTTGATGAAATATTGTGGTGGGTCGTTTGGATTGAGGGGGTCGACTTGGTGGTCGACAGCATTTTGGTGAGAAGCCATGGATCTAGTCGTGACCATACACTTCGATGGGTAGCGAGAAATGGTTATTAGAATGGGGTCTCCGGCGATAGTGAACACAACTAGCGCGAGAAGCAAAGCCTTCCCACAGATGGCGCCAACTGATGATACAGTTACTACACAACGGGTCCCAGATGGAATGGGTTGGACTAATCCACGCTTCTTCAACCGATAACTGGGTGTTCAAGTCCACCAGAGAACTTGCACACAAGTTCAACAGGGGAACTGGGAGTCCCCCAACGAACCCTCCGACGAGCAAGTTAGAGAGAGAGAAGTGTAATGTAGAGATATGAACTGGAGATAGAAAAACTTAACCTTCTTCTTGTCTTCAACGTTTGCTTATATCCTTTGGTTATCATTTCGCTGTCTTTTCCGACCTGCCATCTTGGCCGAAAATTATGCTGTAGCTTACCTTGTTTAGGGTAAAGGGGTGTTGTTCCGACGGAGAGGCGTTGTCGTAATAAATGCTGTGATGGGCTACATTAATGGTGATGTGCAGTGGCAATAACTTTGTAGATCTTTGTCTACTGATGTGGCTTGTCTTTTACCTGCCGTATGTCTGAATGTCATTGGCTCTTTATGCCACGTTGGGTTCCAGCTGTTCTGGACTTCACCAGCTGGGTTATGTATTGGGCTTCAAGTGATGGGCTTGGGTTGTTCATAGTGGGTTATGGCCTTTATGGGCTTACCCACGTCATATTGTATTATCTTTTGCTGTGTACTGCTGCTATGAGTTTGCTGCTAGGCTGTTGCTCTTTTACTCTACTGAACAAATGCTGCATTACTTTACTTTGTTGCTGATATGCTATGATGCCCCTTGTACTGTTGTGCTTCTATAGGCATTGGGGCTATGCTTTGTGCTGCTGACTAGTAGTTGTTAGTTGGATGGGAGGTTATGCTATCCACTACGCCGCACTCATCTCTTGCTCTTCCACTACGCCGATCACCATCGCCGCCCAAAAAAAGGCACAGAAAGAGATAGAAACTAGGAGTGGTTGGGTTGAGCATGTGGACTTACAATTTTATTTTTTTGGCTCTGGTTTTCTGTTTCTTATAATTCTAGTGACATCTTCATTAATTACTGATTACATCATTTTCTGACTAGGGAAGTAGGTTCTTTACTCAATTGCTTTTTAGGATTCCTTAAATTCATGGTTTATGGGGCCAATAGAAGTGTTACATTGCTGTCTATGTATATATATAATTTTTTGGGGGAGTAGAATCTTAACCCTGCTTGCTTTCTTATGTTATGTGCATCCATAATTCATTATTGCAGATGCTAAGCACAGTACTTGTGCCCTCATAATCATCTCAATCAGAAGATATTTACCTTTTTGTGCTATCTGGTGCTACTTATGGAAGTGCTATGGTGAGTGACCCCACAGTGTGTTCTCCTATGAAATTGGAATGGTATACCAACTTCTTTGTTTATATCCTTGTTTTTTAAATTATCTATTACTATTTTTGTTTCTACAGGTTCATCATGTTGGTATGTCAGTTCAAATCTCTAGTAGCAATTTACCTATGCCACGATTGATTATCGAAGCTCTTCTTACAGGCCTTTTTACAAACAAATGGATGTAGTCATTTTTCATGTATCCTTTTTTAACACAAGACCTATCACGAATGAATGAAGTAAGGCATTAGTATTATTGAAGGAAAAGTAAAGCACCACCAATTTGTTTGTGAGATTTAATTGGTTATTTTCACTAGGGAACTCTGTTAGTTAACCTTAATTTCTTAATCACATCTATTTCAATTAAATATCCGTGGGAATATTAGCTAATGTTGGTTGGTAAATGAGACGATAATGTTGTTAGATAAAAATATAGTCAATATCATGGACAATCTACATTGAAGACTTGAAGTATGGCAGATGACAATGTTGTTACATGAAAATATAGTCAGCATCATGGACCATCTACATTGATGTCTTGGGAGTGTTTGCATAAATCAATTCCATTGTTAATATAGACTTTAATTTGACTTGGACTCTTTATGGGGCCATTGAATTATCTATTAATTTTGGAAATGTTTTGTTGATGTTTTATAATTTCTTGGTCATTTCTTAATACCTCAAGAAATATTTTTGTCCTTGAGTCGTTGGTTTTTGTACTCGTGTGAAGTTTCCTTTGTCATGCAGACAAGAAATGCAATAGGGTTAGTTGCTCCAGCTATTGCCGCGGGTTTAGGTGCATTAACACATACATTGGGCACCTTCATCCCTGTGATAGGAGCAAGTGGATTTGCTACAGTTGCAACTGCTATAGGAACTGTTGTCGATAGTTTTAGATAATCTCTTAATAGTTGTCGATATGTTTAGAAAATTAGATATGCATAGTTTTGGATGGTTTAAACTTTTTGTACAGTTTAGAACTTCAGGATATAGTTTTCGAATGTTTGGAATGTATAGACAATTATTGAATGATGTTTCAAATAATATTTTGATGGTTGATTGATGTTTTGTGATGTTTGTTTGTAATATTTGTTAGATTGTACAAAATTGGTCAAATGGAACTTGTTGAATTTAAAATTTAAAAAAAAAAATTTGCATATTCTACGACAGGCATAATAAGTCGTTGTATTACATATTTTACGATGCGCAATCAGCGTCGTTATTTGTCTCACCAATTAACAACATGCAAAAGTAGTCGTAAAAAAAGTAACAACGACGCACAAAATTTGCCGTTAAATAGTTTTTAACGGCGTACTATTGTAGACGCGCCCGAACGTCTCGGAAAAATCTCGTTTTGTTCATTGGGCTTACTACAGTTCGGACTCAATGTCACGGTTCTTAATTTGATCTTGCAAAGTGCAATGCGAGATTGATAAATCACCAAAGAGTCCAGATCCGGCAAATTGTTTTGAAAAACTAATTTTTAAAAAGAAGTGTCAAACATGGATTGCTTTGCCAGATTAATAAGTCGTTGTGTTACATATTTTACGATGCGCAATCAGCGTCGTTATTTGTCTCACCAATTAACAACATGCAAAAGTAGTCGTAAAAAAAGTAACAACGACGCACAAAATTTGCCGTTAAATAGTTTTTAACGGCGTACTATTGTAGACGCGCCCGAACGTCTCCGGAAAATCTCGTTTTGTTCATTGGGCTTACTACAGTTCGGACTCAATGTCACGGTTCTTAATCTGATCTTGCAAAGTGCAATACGAGATTGATAAATCACCAAAGAGTCCAGATCCGGCAAATTGTTTTGAAAAAGTAATTTTTAAAAAGAAGTGTCAAACATGGACTGCTTTGCCAGATATAGAGTCGCCACCTAAACATTTTATTTTTGAGAAATTTAGGAAACCCTGACTCGTGCCTAAAGCCACGTGTCCGTTATCACCAAAGTTGCCTCAGCTCGGGAACTTGGGTATGAGAGGGGAAGGTCATGCAATGAGCACTCTCGCTCGCCCGATCAAAGATCGGTCTTTACTAACATGATATCTTATTTTTGAAAACACATATGCTCTTATTCCGGTTATTAACCTAGAATTACTATGTGACGTGCACAACATACAAGCATAGACTAGATCACCTAAATTGGAACAAAACATCTCATGTTTGTTTTTGAAAGCGGTTTACTACTCGCAAGTAGGCTAAAATGTGGATTTTGCCACTTTCAAGTAGGCTTTAGAAAACATGGTGATTTGCCACTCTCAAGTGGGCTTAAAACTCGCAATCAATGAATTGTTCCAATTCAAGTAATCCAACCTTCACCCACAGGCAATCAGACAGTTATATCACATAAGCAGTTAGTCTCATGGCAAGCATGCTATCATGGCAGTCACTCGCACACATGTAAGGATGCTAAAGCATAAACACTCACTGAGTACTCCAAGCCAAAACAGAAGATAGTTAGTAATCATGCATGATCCTAGTTATGCCAAGAATGCTTAATGCAAAATGCAACTAAGATAAGCTCGGCTATTTTAAAATGTCATGTGAAATGCAACTTAATACATGTATTCAAACAGGAATTGAAATACAATGCAGTTAGTATGATGCGCCGAGCCTGGTGCATGCAAGACAGATGAATGAATGCAAACATGCAAAGCATAAGGATGCTAATTGAAACATGCCTTAAAACTAATTGTCGTAAGCTAGTAAATAAAAGGGAGAAAGAAATGGGGGTTGGAAGACATGCATCACACGCACGCACACTTATTTACAACAGTTGTGCCCTCTCGACGGAGGGTCCGAATAAATAATACAAATCACTTAATTAACTAACTAACAAGCTAATTAATTATTACAAAACGAATTTAAACAAACAACTATTCTAAGTTAACAAAAGCACTGAAATGGCCTCATGACGAGGGATGCATGCATGCTTGAATCGCCTCGCTCGAAAATCCATCGTGATGCCCCGACTTGCCTCTGATTGCACTTGTTTCCAGAACACTGCTAAAAGCTCTAGAAAGTTGAAGCTCCATCATGGGAACCTGTAGGGATGCTGCTGACCAGTTGTTGGCATTGGAGACCACCTGCCGACCACTTTCTGTGCTGAAAAATCAGAAAAAGTGGTCGGCCAGCTAGTATTACTGGTCGGCCAACCAGTTGCTGCTGCCAGATTCCACTTTGCTGCAACAGAGAGCAAGAAAGGGCATGGCAAAGTATTTGCAACATATGTATGCACAACCACCTTCCCTATCATGTCATGAACTCAAGGGAGTGTGGTTTTTGGCCCTCGGACCATCAGTCGCGCATTTCAATGCATGATGGCCGAGAGGCGAAGTTGCACAATTCAATATAAAATGAATGCATGCATAACACATAAAGCCTAAAACTCTATCACGCTTGATCAAGAGCGTTGGCGACTGAGAATTGAGGCACGCTTCATCACTTCAAGTATGAAACGTTCCTCGTTTCTTGTGCTCGGGTTAATACTTAATCCAAACAAATGCAAGCAGCAAGTAACATGGCATACACAATGCAAGTACCAATTAGTGTGCACAATGCAATGATGGTATACTCAATGCAATGTGACCTAAGCATACACAATGCAAGGGATAAGGCATACACAATGCAATGGACAACATAGCATGCAAACAACATGCAATCAATCATGCTTAATGGACTTAGACTAAAATGAAAAGACCTCAGCCATGCCCAAATAGAGGCCATTTCACACCAAAACTTAGGCACAAAAAAGGCAAAGAACATGTGCTCATGCAATGGCTCATTAATAAGGCATAAAGGTCAACTCTCAAGCACAATGAAGAAGTGACGAATATGAGAGTATGGCATAGGTGCAAGCACTGAAATTATCTGCCAAGTGATGTCATATCATGCAAATAGCTCAAATATGACATGCTAGAGGGCCCAAAGTGCAAGGCTAGCAAAGCCAAATACACCATAGCTACACAAAACTAAACATGCATGACCAAAATAACACCAAACAAACCTTAAACATGGTAAAACAAGGCTAAAAGCTTCTTTGGGTCGAGCCAAAATCATGCTAAAAACATGGCTTAAAGCACAAAGCATGTTAAGGCAATTTCATGGAATTGCACTACAAGTGCATGAGGCATGCAAGGGCCAACCAAACCAAACCAAAACAGAGTCATGACATGGCAAAACATCACCAAAAACATGCTGAAGTGGAAAGAAAACAAGCAAGAATGACATGCTACTTCATGAAGCATACAAGGCTAGTTTGTGTGATTTACACTACAAGTGTATTATGCATGCAACGGATGATCAAGAAAACCTAAAACAGATCTAAGGCATGCTGAAATAACCCCAAATACATGCTAAGAACAAGCCAACACAAGCTTAAAATACATGCTCAAACATAAGGTATATATGGCAAGTATTGAAGATATAAGGAGAGGGGATGACCCTCTCCAGTGGTGAGAAGGCCAAAGCAAGGTGATCCCAAAGGCTTAAAGGGAAGGTCCAAAACACGACCAAACAAGGCCTAAGAGGGGGTAGACTACCCCCAACACAAAATGACCTTAAACAAACATTTTAAACAACTTAAAACAAGACTTTTTTCAGTTGAAAGCTAAGCCCAAGTAAGCATGCAAATGGGACCAAGGAAACAACCAAAACAAAGCTTAAAAGGGAGAAAAAAAGTTACCCTTGAAGCACTGCAACAACTTCTTTCTCAGCCAAAAACCAGCTTTTTAGCCCCCAAATATGTCCTCCAAGAACCTCAGCTCAATGATGGAGGTGTATGGTTAAGGGTTGTGGTGTAAAAGTAAAGAACAACACCCTTTTTAGGCACCAAAAATAGAGATATAGAGGGAGATATATGCTTGTGCCTTAGGAAATTTTCTGAACCTGTGGAATGGAGAAGGAGACTCTCTCTTATAGAAAAACAAAGGGTTCAAACTTCTTGGAGAAGCTAAACTTGGATGCAATATGGAGGATACAGTCTGTACCCTCCAGCTGGCACAGCTGGCATCCATACAGTCTGCCAAAACAGGGGGAGAGCTGCTAACCACTTAAAGTGGTCGGCCTGCTACTTGCAGTGGTCGGCCGACCACTTCAAGTGGTCTCCCAGAAAAAAAGTGGTCAGCAGGGGGAATTGATGGTCTCCACACTGAAAGCAAGCCAATGGTGTGATGGGAGGCCAGCAAACGTGGCCCAAAGACCAAGAAAACCAGTTTCCTGACCAGAAAATTGGCTGGCTGGAAGAAAAGTGGTCTCCAAGGAGAAAAACTAGTCTCCCACCCTCGTACTACTTTCCAAACAAGGGAAACAAGGTTTGTGCCAAAAATAAACCAACAAGGATGCAAAACGAGAGTTCGGGAGG